TGGTGTGAAGGCATGGGAGTGTCTAGATCAGGGGCCCTCAAACTAGGGCCCGAGGGCTGGATACAGCCCTCCAAAATCATTTACCTGGCCCTCGCTCAGGGTCAACCTAAGTCTGAAATGACTTGAAAGCACACAACAACAACAACAACAACAACAACAACAACAACAATCCTATCTCATCAGCCAAAAGCAGGCCCACACTTCCCATTGAAATACTAATTTTATATTTGTTAAAATTGTTCTTCATTTCAATTATTGTATTGTTTTTAAGTGGTTTTTTGCACTACAAATAAGATATGCACAGTGTGCATAGGAATTCATTCATTTTTTTTTTCAAATTATAATCCGGTCCTCCAACAGTTTGAGGCACTGTGTTGTAGTAGAGCCTGTTGGTAATACTCCAAGTGGTAGTATGGGTGGCAGAAGAGGGAAAAGGAGTGCTCAAGAACTAGATGAGGAACAACAGAGGAAAAGGATCTGGGAGATACTTATGTCACCTACTGACGAAGATTCCTTCGAAGGGTTTACTGAAAGCGCAGGGTCAATGAGTGAGGAGGAGGAAGGAGATTCATTAGATGTGAATAGCGGAACTAAAAGGGTTACTCAGGAGCAGGAATCGGATGAGGAGCGACAGAGGAAGAAAATTCAGGATATACTTACTGCTCCCACAGAAGAGGAGGATTTCATGGGGTTCTCTGGGAATGATGGGTCTGGGAGTGATGGGGATGACTCACTGGATTGGATCAAGGTGCAAGAAGTTTGAGATGTATGTACTCAGCCAACGTCTAGTGACACATTTGCAGGGTTTTCTGGTGATGGGGATTGGCATTTGGGAGATACTGTGGAGTCTTGGGGAGAGCTAAGTCTTGACAAGAGGTGGAAGAGTTGGAGGGATGGGAGTCGGCGTTCAGGTGCAGAAGCAAAGTCAGCTGTAAGGGGTGGAGGTCAGCTCATCATCGGATGATAAAAGTAGGCACTGAAATGTAAGATCTTTGCAGAATGCAAAGTGTTGGTTTTGTGCCTTGGGTTTTGTCACTGCCGCTTTCATGTTGGGCTTGGGTCCTGGATCTGCAGGTTGCTGCTACCGTTCGTGTTACAACTCGGCTTGAATTCTCGTGAGTGCGGATTTCCCCTTCCTTGACTTCGGACTGCTTTTGATGACGCTGCCTACGTGGACTTTGGAACCTCGCAACTTTGGACTTGGCTTTCTTCAACCTCGGACTTCTTTTCACTATGTCTCTTGCTTCACGGCTCTTGTTTGTACATCCTTCATTTGCTGTGTTGTTTTGCATAACTTTGGAAGCAATTTGGTTTAATCCGGATCTTTTCTCTGGATAATCCGGATTATTACTTTAGTCTGTTTTTTAAGCTGAAATTTACTGCTACTTTTGAGTTTTGACCAGGGACACTGAAGTAAGTGTCTCTGAGTCCCTTTGCTTTGTGTTAATAAACTATTCTTTTGGACATACTCCTGAGTCTGGCTCCTTAAGGTGTCTAGGTTCCGACAGACTGTGACCTGGCCCTTTGTTTAAAAGGTTTGAGAACCCCTGGCCTAGATAAATCTTTTAGAAGGTGCATGTCTGATACATAAAACATGGAATCAGTAGATGCACTTAAATAAATGCCTAAATAATAGCCTATATAATAACAACTCGGAACTCTCACCACTCCTTTTCAATGTCTACATCAGAAGAGTTAATTTAGCCCATTCAAAATCATCCTATTTGCCACCACAGTTACAGATCACTCTGACAGAAACAAAGCAGCAATATAAACCAAGTCCTTCGGTTTTCCTACTCACTGGAAACACTATCCAATCAAATTTATGTATTTTTAAATAACCATCTACATAATATGAACACTAAAATCAATCACATGTATTCAAAGTGTGTAAATCTGACTGAATTCAGCCCAGACAGAGAAGCAATTTCCCAAAGTGTTCAAAACCCATTGCATTTTGAAAAATAATTTAATAACTAAATTAGATAGAAGGCCATGTTAATAAATTCATGTCTATAGTAATAAAATGTCACTATATTAAATCCTGGAAAGAGGTGATTTATTAACTGTATTTCTTATTTTTGAACATGAAAGGATACCACACATTTATGTCAAGAGTTCCCAGCCCAGTCTTTACTAACGTAACATGAATGCAGAAGAAACTTCAAGCTTATCCTCCCTACACATACTGTATCCTCTATGAAAACGTTTCCTCCCTGGAGAAAGAATTGAGCATCCTCCTAGGCCAGTTCTTTTCTCTACGTGCTTCTAAGAACAACAATATTTATATTCTGAGGAATCTCATTTGGGCTATTTTGTAATATGTAGCTCTGAGCTTATAAATTATGACTGCTTCCAAACCAAGCAATAACTTAAAATGGCTATTGCTTATTACATAGTATGGGAAATGACTTAGTTCAATGACCTATCTAAGTCAGCAATTCATATTGTACAGCATTGTTGTTGTCAGAAGAATGCATATTTCAAATGTCGTGGGGGACGCAAAGCTTCTCTTGCACAAACAATCTAAGCCTTAAAAGGAGAGAAAGCAAAGTGTTATACGACAGCAGATAAAAAATAGTTGGAAATTCAAAAGCAGCATAAGGGGCTTTGGAATAAAACTACATTTCAGAGCATTATTTGAAGCTTTGTGGCTTCTTTTTTACTTATTAGAAAAACAAAAAAAATCTTAAGACATATAAATACATGGAATGAAAATTAATCATTTTAAATTCCCATTCATCTCATTGAGTAAGTTAATCATGTATTTAACACTTTTCTATGAAATTGCTAACTAAAAACACTAACTTTTAGTGGGATTGTACACCTAATTTCTGGGAGAAAACTTCAAAGAACTCAACTACTGAACATGGTAACATTAATTCATGAATTGTTTTTCCAACCAATTTTCCCTACATGTAATGAGCAAAATAAGGGATATTAGAATATGCCATAACCATATTCAAAGCATAATCCAGAAATTTATAACATCTGTTATTTGATTGTTTCCTGCATGACCCTTAAATCTGAAGAGACCCCATCCATTTCTCCCGCAGCCAGAAAAAACACTGTTCCTTAACTTCCAGGATCACTATTTTTCTCAATGGTAGATAACAAGATTATCAGTAGAAGTTTCGATGGAATGGAAGAGATTTTAATCTCCACACAGATATCAACCAGTCAGTCAACAAATAAATGGTTTTTTAAATCAGAAAATGTAGAAACCTGCCACATTTGCTTACCGATTCAGTCAACATTACATACAGACTTCTACCAAACCTTCTACCAACTAGCAAACTTTCTACCAAATTAGAACTACTGAATAATAAATCAAATGTATAGAAATAATGTCTCATAGGTGTAGAAAACACAGAAGATAAAAGGGAAAGGCTGAATCCAAACTTAGGCCCCATCTGTACTGACCATCCAGTTTGATGTGGGGGCATATTAGCCCACAGGCAGCCACAAAACACACACAGGTTGATTTGGATTAACCTGGGGAAAGCCACTTAATGCAACTGTAAAATAACTCAGATTAAAGTCCAAGAATTCGGGCTTTCCCCTGAATTATGGCAATTCAGACATTCATAGATAGTTCCCAACAACCAATCTATGCTCCCTGGGCTTAAGCTGTCTCTCCTTCTTCCTCCCAACATCCATCACTTATCACATCACATGGAAGGAGGTTGACTGACATGCAAGTAGAAGGTAGGCTGTGGTGTAACTGCTACAGTCAGCAGCAACACAGGGGAGGGGCGGGGGAATGGAGGCTGCTCAGATCATAATGCGGGCTGAAATCAACATTTTCCTTGCCAGTTTCAGCCCACATTTTTTGTCAGTGTAGAACTGCCTTTAGACAAGCTTAGAATAGATATAATCAAATCCAATAGAACTTAAAGAAGAGTTATGACTAACTTGTCCCATTGATTTGTATCAATCTGCTTGAGACATTTCTAAATCTGTATCCAACTAATAAGAACAGGTCACAATTAGATAATATTCACACACAGTACAGGAAAATATCAAGGGACTTTGGTTATCATAGTAATAAAATACTGTATTAAATGGATATTTTCACTTTTCTTACTGCTTAAATTGATAACAGTGACATTAAAAAGAACGCCCCAGATGCAGAAATTATGGCAGTAGCTGAAATACAGATTTTCACATTTCTGTATTTAAGCAGCATAACTCAACAGCTCGGCTTTTTATGTCTTAATATTACAGTGAGATACTCTGGTTTGAGCCATACACAGTGTGGCAAACCATAAAGATGGCAAAATGATTTTGAATGCAAGAATATATTTTAAAAGGAGATATGATTAAAGTCTGAAGATTACTTGTGAGTTTAGATTGCAACAACAGTGTTGCTGCCTTGGGAATAGCCTCTAAGTCAGGAAACATCATGAAAAAGATTATTAAAAATACAGATGGAGACATACTGCACAGTAAAATTACTAAAGCAGTATGGAATGTATTTGTCCTTCCCTGATCTTCACATGTTCAAAATGAACAACAGTCCTCTAAATTATAACTCAGCAAGCAATCTGCAGGTCGAACCTATATCAGCAGAGCTCTGCAAAGACACTGATCCACCCAATCAGTATTTACTCTGATTCTGTATCCAATCTTCATATAAAGGAGATCTTATTATCTGCATAGTGAATATGCACAGTGAATGTGACCTCCACAGCATTACAAGCAAGAGAACGCCAACAATTGTTATGCTTTCCCAATTAGATTATCCTAAGCAAGGATATTGTAAACCATGAAAAGAGCAGACACATTGTAAGTTTACCCAATGGGAACAGATACCAACTGAATTCTAGTATTAACATACAAAATGTGAAACAAACATCACTTCAATCTTCAGCAAATATAGAACATTACATATATAAGAACCATATATGTGAAAATAAGTAAAGTGGAAAGAGCGTACTGGATGTGTATTTATCACTTTTACATATATCACTTTCAAAGTACACAATTGCAGAACATACCTTCCATGACGTAAACCAGTGACCCCACGTCTCCCTCCTTAATGATGCAACTGTCCTTGCCATATTCCACCGGATACATACAATCCACAATCTCCTGGATTTGAGACAGTTCTAGATTCTTCATGAAGTCATTGTCAAGGATAGCTTCCTTTATTAAATCCTTTGACCTATGATGAAAAAGAAATTATGTATCTATATCTGAAACAACATTCTCATCAACAGCATAATTGAAATCCACAGTGTTACTCATGCACATCAAGAAAAAGCATTTATGTTGTTTTCACAAAATCTAAATCCTAATCATGCAGATTTGAAGTGCAAAAAAAATAAGGTACTGAAGATAACATATGTTTAGAATGTACTTCTAAGGATATCCATTCATATGTATGAACCATGAGAATCATTGATTTGACAATGTGGAATGAATTTACGGACTCTGAGATGGCGAACGCTGAGCATTAGATTGTTTTTGCTGATTTTGATGTATATACTGACTGTTTAATTGTTATAATCGCTGTTTCCATGTTTTATCCATTGTTATGTTTATGCTGGCATCGAATTGTGCCTTTGTAAGCCGCCCTGAGTCCCCCCCCTCGGGGGTTGAGAAAGGCGGGGTAGAAATGTGTGAAATAAATAAATAAATAAATGCTCAGCCATACTCAAGACACTAAAAGAGAGACCGAAATATAACTATTAGTTCCCATCAGAGTAGACCCATTCAGTGAAAGAAATTTGTATTCAATTGCTTTTGGACTAGCAAATGAATGTAGTTCCAGACTAGTTTAATGAGCCAGTGGTTCATATTCAGTATAAAAGTTACAATATTTTAGTAATTATTATGAATTTGTTAGTAAAATTATTGTAATCCAGAATTCTATATAGAACATTATATGAATTCTATAGACAACATTACATTGTGTAAATCTATAATTAAGTAAACCCACTGAACCTTATCAGGATTGCCCTCAACTAGACTACAGCAACCTTACTGGCATCCTTCAGGTGTGATTCCAAATCTCATAAACCCAACTAGCAATGGCCACTGGCGATGATAATTGATGATGATGGGAGCTGTAACATAGTACATCTTGAGACTGCTAGTTTGACAAAGACTGTTGTAAAATACTATAGCCGGTAAAAAATCTTAACCTTTCATCACAAGCCATTTCCTTAGCATGATATAAAACACATATACAAATACTTACACTCTACATGCAGCTTTGAGAGTTCTGAGGCTTTCAGATTTTAATGATTATTTTAGCATTAGTAACTATATATATTTTGGTAATTGTGGTGGGCCCTCAATATCCACTTGAGTTTGGTTCCATGTATACTAAAATCAGTGTATGTTCAAGTCCCATAATGTTCAATGGTAGCAAACAACCGAGTGCTGGAGAAAGGCAAAGGATCTGTAGTATGGCAGGAGGCTTTAGTAGGGCACACCTGCACAGTGCTCCATACACAACCAATTCAAGATCTGCTTTTTGTATTTTGTTTTCTGAATATTTCCGAGCCATGGTTGATTGAATCCATGGATTCAGAACCCATGATCAGGAGGGCCAACTGTATATTTAAATCATAGTTTAAAAGATCGGGATTCTTCACACATACACTTGTAATTGTTCTGTATTTTTTGCATAACCTTTTCAAGGTCCTTGTAGTTCAGTACTTAGACAATGCTGATAAGAACATTCCTTTTGTTTTTCATCTTACAAACTTTTTAAAGAAGCATAAACACAACACTTGAAGGATTATCTTCTACCCTGAGTCACTCAGCCACAAATGTTAACAGTGCTGTACTCATCATCATTTGCATATTCAATTTCCCTGCAGAATGTCTATCAAATCTATCTTTATCCATCTGACAATACAACGAACATAAAGATTACAGACAATAATTGTTTAAAAGCTACTTAAGGGATTTGGTGCAGACAAACATCTGAAAAACGTAAATATGAACAATCTTGAGTTTAAGTAATATGTTTGTTAAATAGCAGCATTCTAAAGGTAAATATCACGATATATAGTATGGTTCCCATATCTGTGGAACCAATATATGTAGTTTCACTTATTCACTTGGGGCCTCTTGTACAAGCGTTACTCTCTTCTCAATATCTCTATTGTGTATCCCTTTGAAAATAATAGGGTTCACTATTATCCACAGTAAAGTTCAGGAACATATCCCCTGAGGACAAGAAGCTTGAAATTTATCAATTTCTATTTGTATAATGGATTCATGGAACAACAGACTGGTTCAAGACTAGGAAAGGCGTACGGCAGGGTTGTATATTCTCACCCAATCTATTCAACTTATATGCAGAACACATCATGCGATGCGCGGGGCTTGATAAATCCAAGGCTGGATTTAAAATTGCTGGAAGAAACATTAACAACCTTAGTAGATATGCAGATGTGAGGAGGAGCCAAAGAGCCTTCTAACCAAGGTTAAAGAAGAAAGTGCAAAAGCTGGGTTGCAGTTAAACATTTAAAAAATCCAAGATTATGGCAACAAGACTGAATGATAACTGGCAAATAGAGGGAGAAAACGTGGAGACAGTGGCAGACTTTTTATTTCTAGGTGTAAAGATTACTGCAGATAAAGACTGCAGCCAGGAAATCAGAAGACATTTACTTCTTGGGAGGAGAGCAATGACCAATCTCGATAAAATAGTGAAGAGTAGAGACATCATACTGACAACGAAGATCTGCATAGTTAAAGCAATGGTATTCCCAATAGCCACCAACGCATGTGAGACCTGGACCACAGGGAAGGCTGAGCGAAGGAAGATAGATGCTTTTGAACTGTAGTGTTGGAGGAAAGTTCTGAGAGTACCTTGGACCGCGAGAAGATCCAACCAGTCCATACATGAGAAGAAAGGAAAACTTAGAGAAGACGATGATGCTGGGGAAAATGGAAGGAAAAAGGAAGAGGGTCTGACCAAGGGCAAGATGAATGGATAATATCCTTGAAGTGACTAGCTTGACTCTGAAGGAGCTGGGGGTGGTGACGGCCGACAGGGAGCTCTGGCATGGGCTGGTCCATGAGGTCACGAAGAGTCGGAAGCGACTGAACGAATAAACGAACGAATAAACAACAACATTTGTATATTCATTGTTTGATATAAAAAATGCCTTTAAACCAGGCATGGGAAAACTTCGACCCTCCAGGTGGTTTGGACTTCAGCAGCTGGCTGTTAGGAATTGTAGGAGTTAAAATCCAAAACACCTGGAGGGCCGAAGTTTGCCCATGCCTGCTCTAAACTATTGTTTATATATCACATAAATACGCATATCAAGAACTCAAAGTAGTTTGAAACAATAAAAGAAGTAGAACAGGCAACATATTTGCAACTGATACTTCCTATATGATGTGTAAAACAGATCTGTATGTTGCTTACTATAATCTTTATGCAACCAAGGGGGAAATAACCTGTTTTAGTGCTTTGAAAATTGTTATAAAACCAAAAAGCAGAAAAAGCACTTTTCACTTTTTTTTACATCCATACTAAAAAAAACTGGTCTACCATCCTATATAATACCTCTGTAGCCATTTTGTTTCTGCCACTGCTAGTCACTCTTCTGCACATCCTAACACAACAGTTCAGTGCCACTTCTGTATAAGAGTCCCTAAACGTCCACCCATTTACATCACGGCCACCTCACCCCTCTTCCACTGAAAAATACTGACAATAATTGGATAGTAACCATTATTAGCACTGGAAGAGAACGAGAATATATTTAGCATGATGGTAGCAATCCATACAACAAAAGGCTCTAATATTTTAAGTATTTGGAGACAATGTTCAATCTTCCTATTTCAACAATCAACAAATACAGGTACAAATCTGTACAAGAAGCACTTTACAATAACGACAAAGAAGAAAAGGAAAATAGGTGACATATCAAATGTGTTGCTGTTTGAGAGAGGCATGTGTAAGTTTCAAAGAAATGAAACACTGATGTTATAAGGGTATAAAATAAATTGGTAGCAGTTTAGGCAGCTGGAAAGGTATAAAATAAGATATATGTAAACCAATCAGAAGGCAGGAAACATTTTTAATTGTGTGTATGTGTGTCTATGTGTTTTTGTTATTTTTTGCTTTATTATTTGAGTTGTGTTTTATTAATATATCAGTATCAATAAATATGACTAAAGCAAATATAGATGGAATTAAATGTTATGTGTGATTCCACTGAGAAAAAAGTCCCACTAAACTTAATAAGAGAGCGTACTCTTCAGTGAGCAAGTTTAGAACTGTATATGAAGAAATTATGATATTAGTTTTTCTTCATTAATAGTTCATACTTAACCTCATTCATACAATGAAGCTGGTAGTTTAGTTCATCAGTATCAATAAGGAAAGCAGGTCCTTCAGCTTCAAGCTTCACTGCCTCAAGCAGTTCCTGTTGTGAATTGTTTGTCTTCTTACACACAAAAATATAAATCAGCCGCTGCACCTATTTTAACCACCTCACACAATTGTATTCTTAACAATGTAATAACAGACACAACAGGTAGCATTTTTCCCTATTCTGAAAGTGTATACATGCCAGTATAATACTATGCCTGCAGCAGCACACAGAATCAAATACATGCAATTGTTCCATGGGCTTCTAAACCAGCCTTGATCTCAGTTCACAATCAGCTTTCCTAGTTTCAAGCACCAGACAAGTGCAGGAGTTTAAACGGCATGCATAATTATATTTAATGCTTTTCAGTCCCCACTAAGAAATGGAATGCTCTTCGAAATAGAATACAACAAACATTGTAAGTCCAATTATATTTGGATATATTTTCCTATATAAAAACTAAATTTCAACCTAGAGCCAAAAACTGATACAAAAAGCAGAAACAATGTGATAGCAACATAACTTTATACATGTTTGATGAGAAGTATATCTCGCGTAACTGCCCAGGGTTTCCGATGTAATCATAGGAATTGGTACAGAAAAACTACTTTCTTCAATAACAGTTTGAAACTGCATTAAATGGTCAGTGTAGATATCCCCATAGAGAAAAAAAATTCCTATCTCATCTTCTTTATCTACTGCTTGTGATCAAACACTTCATCCTTTGTGGCTTTCATTCTCCAACACATGCAGGGTAGGACAAGGAAATTGACTTGTATACTTTTTGAGAGCACATGGAGCCTGTAAAAGACTTGTT